GATTTGCCTATCTGGACCTCTGGTTTTCCTGTGATGTCACCAAGATACGATTCAGTGCTGACTTTCTAAGATGTTTTTACACTTCTGTTGCAAATAAGTGTTGCAGACACTGATAAAGATAATAAACAGAATTAAAAAGAGTATGGCTTTTATATTTATTGCCAGTATTTGCAATTTGGGGTAACAGAGAACATTAAGCGGCATTTTCTCTCCAAAAAGTAATTTGTGATAATCTTAGTAAAAGTACCAAAATCAGCAAAGACGTCATTTGCATGTTAATTTGAAGTTTCCCTGGGGGATAGCGAGCTTGGATTCAAGGTCTTGGTCTGTCACAAATTTGCTGTGTGACCTAAAGACTGTCCCTCCTGCTCCCTGGACCTCAAATTTGTTCATCTAACATGAAGGGACTGGAACAGCTAATCTCATAGGGCTCTTTTAGCTCTGACTTTCTAAGAGCCTTAATATGTGACAGGAGCCAAGGACACAATTGAGGATACCATCACTGAGTGACAGGGTCCCTGCCTCCATTCACCCAAAGGCTGGCTGCCTGGCTTACTTCAGGAATCCGTGTCCTCAAAATTCCTCAGAACAAAAGAAGGCATGGACACAAATAGATCAGAGAAATAGAAAGACAATACCCTTAAATATATTTAAAAATGCTCAAGCTCTGTCATAGTAAGAAACATGCAAATTATACCTATACTGACCTGCCATTTATTGTTGAATTCTAATGCTTGTCGATGAGACTATGGGTAATGCAGTATAGTCCCTGAGGAGGGAGTTGGCATTATCTAACAAATCAGCGATCCCGCTTCTAGGCATCCATTCTAAAGATACACCTCCACAAGTACAAAATGATATATGCACTAAGTTTGTCATCACAGCACAATTTTTTTTTTACAAGTTTTCCAAAAATTTTATTATTCATTCTTAAATTTAAATTAATTAAAATTAAGTAAAATTTATAATTCAATTCCTCAGTTATCCTAGCCCTATTCCAAGGGCTCTGCAGCCACCTGTGGCTAGTGGCTACTGTGTAGGATAATGTAGCTTCAGAAGAAAAGATAGACAATTTTTAATAGCAAAATATTGGAAAGAACACAAATATCTTACAATAGGGGACTACTTGAGTAAATTAGGGTATGTTAAAAAATGTAGCATTATGTAGTCATTCAAAAAAGAATAAGGAAGATTTCTGTAAACTTTGTGTTTATAGTGATTTCTAGGATACATTACAAATTTCCAGGATGTAGAACAAACCAAACAATAACAATAAAACCCAAGGTGTAAAACCCAAGGATATAT